CTATTATATGCTTCACTGCAAGTTTAGGAATATCCATCACATTTAGAGAGAGAACATCTTTTCATGGATATTATCTCTGGAGACTAACCAAACTTTGACAACTTTGAAAGTTGCCATTAACAAGTCATGAAAACTGTTATTAAGGCCAAATATAGGCCTTAATAACACCTCAAATCTGAATGTAGAATTGTTTAAAAATAAAACTATTTCTACAAAACACAAGTTAGAAGAATACTTATTCAAAGATCTTTATCTCTTTTAATTGACTACAAAGAAGTAATACATTTATTTTTGATGTTGAACTTTTCCTTGTTCCTGTATTATATCACATGTGATATTTTAATTTCCATCTGATATGTAGCAAAAACAACTAACTGTAAACTCAACCTTGGTACTTTTTTACACTTAAAATCTTAATCCATGACCAATCATTTAAATTCCAGTCACAGCAGAATAGTTACAAGGAGTCTAAAAATCCTTGGTGTGAATCTTCCCAGTTAAGGCAATGAGATATATTATGTGAGTTTCTGGCCTATTGGAGATCCAAGGAGGGAAAAAAAAAGCCTGACTGAATAACTTTTTTTTTCAAAAGGAAAATGAGAAAACATACTACAAAAAGGGTTTTTTCAAAGAGCACAACCAATATGTGTAAAGCAATCAGATGTAGTCCTTGTGATATCACCAGCTTGATGTCTATGGTTTTGGAGCCTCGGGTTGGGATTTGTGGAACCAGGAATGACGTAAGAGGGTGTAGCTAAGCACAAGGGAAAGCTGAAAAATGTCCAACATGTATTATTAACTGAAAACGTGCTTTTAAATAGTTTAAGTTGTAAGACAAAAACACAAACAAAACCACGATAGATAACGCTGTGGTACGACTTCTTAGTCATAATGTAGCCATGTAGGAAAATATAACCTGCTTTCTTTCCTATTTCATCGCAAATGGGACCGTCATTTATAAAATGAACATCCTGCTGTATTGAAATAGTCTTTGAACCAGGGATTAAGACACCACTTTAGTGTAATTTCACCAAAATCTAATAATGTAAAATCAACAAAAAAACAAATAAAGAATACGAGACCACTGACATAAATTACAAATGTTACTTGTAAATATATTTTTTCAGATTATGTGCATGCTCTTATCTAATAGTGTTTTATTTATTTTTTCTCTGTCTTCACCTTTGTTGTCACAATTTATATTTACCCTCTGTGGGAATAATAAAGTTATTCTTATTCTGATTAAGACCATAAACTAAAAGGGAAAATGTTTTTTAAAGTTAATAAAACAGGTGAGAAGTAAAATATTTGTCTCATTAACTACTGAGTTAATGAGTGCTCTTCTTTTTCCAATCAGTGGAGCAGTACCTTGCTGGATATTAAACACAATGTAAGAATGGAGCATTAAGTTTTAGGTTAACATTAGCAAAATGGGTCCAGGTTTTGGCTCAGACTTTAAGGTCCAACTGTAACATACCAAAAAAAGACGGCATAGAGTGTTGTCACTGGCCTAAGATGCATGATTCACGGCTGATGATCCTGTTACACTGATGATTTTGATGATTATATCTGTCTTGTAAGATGTGTCGATTGGATCGGAGACTGAGCTCTGCACCAGTTCATGATTATGAGAGTTAGCTGCTCTTACTTATGCAGGAAATGTACAATTAAAACACTTCAGATGGATGAGGAGCTTTTGACTTGCTCTGCCATCAGGCCCTCCACTTGAGAGTGAAGTTGAAAAGGAAAATCCCGTTTTCACAATTTTTGCAGCTAGGATTTCACTTTCTCATGTGGGAAGATTGAGGAATTTCTATCTAAGCTTGTTCCAGAAAGTGTTTAGTCATGTTTAGCAGGAAGCAGTGGGAACAAGCCACCATTGATACAACAAATCCATACTTCAACATCTCCGATATTTCAACATCCCTCTCATATTTCTAAATTTCCCATATTTCAACATCTCCCAAATATTGTTTACGTGTTGTGTCTTGTTAGCTAGCTGGTTAGCCCCTTATACAGTCTATGGTTAGCCCCCACTGCATCCAAGTTTACCCACTATGTTTTTGAGTGTTTTTAAACATTTTGGAAAGCTGGCAACCTCACAATGAGACAGGACCTCTGAGAGACTGAATGCTATCACTGTAAGTGTGCACAGCCCAATTGGATCATAGAAAAAAATATAATAATTGAAAAAATATGAAATAAAAACAGTCCTCTTTTTTTTTAATTTATAGATGTTTTGGTTGCATTTTCCTCAGCAATTTTAAGGTGTACTTTTCATCTGAGACAATGAGACAGAATGATTTTGTAGGCAAGATTTAAAAGACATATTGTCGTTTTAACGAAAAATATGTGTGTTTTCTTTTAACAAGAGGTTTCATACAGTAGTTACAGTAGGAAAGTCTACAGAGCAACATCTCATAATATTTCACCTATCTGAAACTTTTAGAATATGTTTAATACATGTTTAATATCACTCGAGTACATTTCTCTTGGGATGGGTAAAAAAAGACATTGCCAAATTATGTAACATACATAAAAAGGGTCCACTGTATATTTTGGAAGGTGTGTGACTTGAAAATGATTGAAATGGGCATGGCATTATCTTATTTATTTTAGGTTGTTGTGATTATGTATGCAGTTCAATTCCCCAACAACAAAGCATGAAAAAAGAAACTGTCTGTGGCGTGACCCATCTAGTTAATTCAACTTGATTTACAGTGTTACCCTTTGGGCTGTTCTTTTGAAGTTCATCGTCTTGCAGCCTTGTCTCAAGTTCGGGAAGTGTGGTGGGAGTGAATCTCAAAGAGCGCCATATCTCTAATGATGCACACGGGGCCCAAGGCCAGCAGTTTGGCATTGCTTTAAGAGACTGTCGCTAACATAAAATGCACTTTTTCCTGTCCCGAGATGTGAAGTCCTTCATCTTTAAATTCACTAACATTTAGTTTTTTTCTATCATTTTAGGCAGCTAGCTTATTTTCAAGACTTTGGACACTGATGATTTTCACTCAAGGCATCTTGTCAGTATCCTGAGTTGACCTACAAAAAGCCATTCAGTCAGGAGTAGGAGTAGGAATACAACCACGAGCTGCACCAACCATGACAATCAGGTGTTCCCAGAATTAGGTCACAGCACTAGAACAATAGTTACAAATCCTCTCTAATACATTAGCTTAATGTTATACAGTTTGTCTAACCAAGCAACCATCTTAAGTACGAGGAGCATCAACATGCTGAATGACTCTGCAGAGGATAAAGCAGAGGTCACCCTGAGAAAAAATCTCAGGCTATGTTGTTTTTCTTCACATTTTCATTACTTGTAATAACCTGTTTTCTATTAAGATGCATGTATGGATGTTACTGTAGAGGAATAATTTTCATTAAGGCATCTTTCGATAAAAACTGCTCACCTGTAGAAGTCTTGTCTTCGTCAAAAGTGTGGGCTTTCCTAATTGGAGAAAATGTCCCTCAATTGTTGGTCAAATTAAAGAAGCATTAGGATTTGCAGAGTTTATGGAGAGAAATAATACAGGTGTTGCAGCAGGTTCGTCCTCTCATGTTCTAAGGTAAACAAATCCTGTCCACCTCCCCTCAGTGATTGGTTAACACCCTGCACATGCACAGTGTGCACACTAATGTACAGCAAAGGGTGGGATTTGAGATGAGAGGTCAGTGCTTGCTCTCAGGTGTGGGTGGGGTGTTCTCTCAGTTAAAGGATGAAATAGATTAACACACTTTTCCCCTTTTGTTGTATTTTGACAACATACAGAAAAATGTAGACTACTGCTATTTAAAGGCCAAAGCCCATAATTCCAATTCAAATGTATAAATGTTGATAATGTAATACTCTTTGCAATGCATTTCTATAATTTGCATCAATTTACTCATGGGGCTCTGCAGTATTAGAGATGTGTTTCTGTGTCGAGTCTGATGCGTTTTCAGGACTTTGCAGCTTTTGTTCAGTCATTTAATTAAGCAGAACAATCATCAGTTGGAACCACTTTGCAAGTATCTGAGACAGACTACTGAGCTACTCATTGTTTAATTGGCCGGGATTAAAAGGTGTCCTGCACAAAGCCGCGGAGAGCACAGCGGGTGTGTACGTCTCAGGAGTAATGGCTAAGTTTAGCAAATCCTCTCAGTGTGTTTCTGAATGACAGCACATGTTTGACAGTATACAGAGGAACGAACGCATAGCTTCACATGCAATCGCCACAGACACACAGGTACTGCATACAGTATGTTCTGTGATAGATGCTAGGACATGATTTACATATGTAATGTACTGCTTCACACATGAACAGCTTGGAAATGCATACAAATTAAGGAAAGGATCTATGATTACATTTGAACTGATCAGCAGTTTTGCTTTGAAAATGCATGTAAACTATGTAAATTGGGAATTTAAATTGAACTGAGTTGAAAAATGTCCTTATGTCTCATAACAATTCAGCAGAAGATAATTGCATGCAAGTCTGCACATTGTGTGCCCTACTTGGCAGATAATGACTTATCCTTCTTGGAAAATGATTATCTCCTGGATACTCATAGGTCAGGAGCCTGGAGCCAGCAGTGATCAGGGATGGAGCATTTTTGGGATATTAAAATGGCTTTGTATTATAGTATTTATATTATATGGTGTTGTTTAATATTATAAATCATTATATGATACAAATATAAACTGCATTTTAAAGTAAAGTAACAAATTAAAGTAACAAAGCAAAATAAGATATACATCAAAAGTAATCCAGAGCAAATAAATGCCAAATAAAAAACAATAACACCTGACTGCTAATGGTTAACTCACTTTTGGAATGAAGCCTGGAGATAGCTAGACCCAGACAGGGCTTAAAAGATAATCAGGTATTTAAGAACATTTCTTAATTGACAGTGATAATGTCATTAATAACTATAATTTATAATATTCTGGCATCTGCTGGGTTTCTTTACATTTTTAAAACCATTTTTATTAAAATTATGAAAAATACACAGCACCACATTACATTCACACATCATGAGCATGTGATTGTGTGTGTTAAGCAGATCCTGTTGAGTTTTTTGAAGTGGCCCAAATCCTGAACAATGACATGCACACATAAGATATACGGGTAGAGTTCCACTCTTCATGATATTGACTCAGAGAGCAGGTACAAATGTTGCCAAATGTTGTGCTTTCACTGTCCGCTCCACCATCACTGTGAGCTTTACCTGGAAATAAATGACCATCTGAGAGGTTACAGATAAATCAGCTCTACATTAAATATTGAGAGGGTAAACCTACTTCATATTTTTCTCTATCCAGTCTCGGAAATTAGCTATTCTTGTTTGAACTGTGTAAGTCTGTTGGTGGCAGTTATCTTCCTTGTAGCTATAACTCTCTAAACCAAGAAGTTGCCAGCCAGAGCCTGAAGCTCCCTGAGTCTCCTTGTGACCCGGCAAGTCACCGCTTGTTGATGTCAACACAGCTGGCATGGTTGTGATACCTGGAATAACACTGGAACAGGGCTTTTGAGGACTGGACTTCCTCATGACACACAGTGTATTGTCACTGATCATTGTTGTGTGGGCTCTTCCTTCGGCAAATTCCCTTTCACATTGAGTAACATCAACCAACTCAACAAGTCTTGTCTGGCTCGAGGGAGTGTTGCCGCTAAGGTGATCGTTTGGTAAAATCCACCTCGAAGTGTAAGCCTCAAACGCTGTGACCTCTCCACCTTGAACTTTGGGTAGACACACTGGCAACACACGCTCACTGATCTTGGCCTTGTCTCTTAGCTTAAGCACAGCCACTTGGGAGTCTGGTGCAGAGTAAAAATCTGGATAGACTAAAATATCTGAAACCTGTTGAAAGAGAGAAGAAGGGATTACACTTGGAAGCTAGAATACCTGAGAGAGCCTAAAGTCACTTTTAGCCAACGTTTGTTGTTTTTGGGATATTTGTTAGATTATATGCTCCAGGATGCGCAGAGATTTCAAATCCAAATCAATTAAAGTTGTATCCCGGTAAAGCTTTAAGTGTACATCTAAATCCCAAAGGATTTCTTCCTTTTCCATTTACGGTACTGACAAAAACCTATCCAGAAGATTATATTTATTTAATGACCATTCCTTGTTTATGACTTTATCACGGCATCTGCCGTTTGGTATATTTTGCAGTCATAGAGAAACTTTTTAGCACTGCATATTATTGAAATAAAAACAACATTATAAGCATGTTGTTTGTAATTTAAAAGTTTAGGCTTCTTGGTTAAAGGGAGGATAAAAGTTGTTGGGTATTTAGACATCAATACCTCCAATTTCTACCACTATTTAAAGTGCTATTTCAACTGGCACTTTACACTCTGAAATATGGCCATTTAAATTATCTTGAGAGAAAATACATCTTTAAATCCAACCCTCCTATTGTCTTCGTTTCCCCCCCCTTACTTTGGTGTTTGCGGTAAAATTTGACCGGTCCTGTATTAACTCTTATTACATTAACACAAAAACCATTAGTCATCACCAAATTTCATTTAGCACCCTTTCAAACTGTAAATATTGTATCAGACTACTGGTACACATGACAAACTGCAGTAAATATACAAAGAATAGACACTGAACATGTATTGCGTGTGACAGGTGTGATCCATGTGGGGGGATGGGCACATAAGAGCGAGAAATGTGTCAAATTGTTCTGTGTGTGTGTTTGTGTGTGCCAGGTGTTATTCACATGGGGGGATTGGGCACATAAGTGGGGGGGGGGGACACACACATATAGACTATGTGTTTGTGTGTGTGCGTGGGTGTTTGTGTGGGTGTTTGTGTGTGTGTTTTATCTGATCCGGATGGTTACTAATTCCTTTCCTTTATGGCGGTCATTTTTGACCGGGAACACCATGGGTGTTACAACGTTGACTAAATCATCCAAAATTCAATGAAAGTGGTGATCAGCAATTGTATATGTTCAAATGTCTACTGTGAAGGATATCATAAAGCCTTAATGCAATCGAATGTAAAACAAAAAAGTTATGATTGATGAAAGTAGTAAATCGGTCAGATTTGACCCGAAGACAACAGGAGGGTTAAACTAATTCAGCCTATTTTTCAAAAATGTAAAAGGGTCTGAATGATTTTCCCCCAAACTGTGTTTTCTAACGGACTGCATTTTACCCTGAGGTGGTGCAGGCTTTTCTGACGACCCCTGGATGTCTGGTACTGCAGGCCTGTGACAACCTTTACATGTGCTGGGTGGAGGGTCTGCTGCTTGTCCTTGTCTACCACACACCGAGCGGCCACCAGGACGCTCCGCTGGGTGAGCAGAGCCCCGCTGCAGGCCAGGAGCCAGAATGTGGACTCCTCTGAGGCCCCCTGCTGGAGAGAAATGGCTTCTCCACTGGGCCTGTGGGTGCTGCCAGTATGTTCAGCAGGTGTGCGGATATAGACGGCTGCATGCCATGGCAACAGCGTGTCTGTGAGGTTGTGTAGATTGGAAGTGTTGAATTTGCCACAAACTGTGGGAAAGTAGCAGTCACAGAGGAGAAACAATGTTAATTGAATGGATGTGCATAATATTGGATAGAACCTTTAATTTCTTATAAAGTAGGCTAATTTAAGGTAATACAATATGAATATCATTCATCTGCCTTCTCAAACATTTAAAGGCCCTTCATGTATAGGGTAATCTTAATTCGATCTGTAAATCTGATTTATAGTCATTATGCTAGGTTAACCACATTTTGGTTCTAGCTTAATATTCACCATGCAGACGTGAATTAAGTAGCCTATCGATCTTTTCTTCTAACACTCTAGAGAAAGCTATTTGCCAAAATGCCAAACTACTGTAATGCTCTAAAAGTGAGCCTATTTAACTTTAAACTGACACTGTGGCCACAAGTGGGAATTGCAGGGTTGATGGTTAATTTTAAAATGTAGTGTAATCTGTTTCTTCTGGGCTGCTAACGGCACACTTAAAGGTGGGGTAGGTAAGTTTCAGAAACCGGCTCGAGATACACTTTTTGTTATATTCCATGGAATGCGCTTAACATCCCGATAGCAATGAATATCTGAAGTGCTTTGACAAAAAATCCATAAAAAAATGTCATCTGTGGAAGCCGTAGTGCTGTAAAAAGTACAACCAATCCGTTTAAACGGATTGGATTGCCGCCCTGTCTGTCAGCCTTCCATCTCGTGCACGCACAAATGTATCTCGTGCCCTCATTGGGGGTGCCGTCATTGGGCGTGCATTGCAGCAGTACTTCAATGACCAGCAACAGGCGGCCACTTTCACCAGTCTGCTGACGTCATGTGCGCGTTCATGTGTGTTGGAGGAGGTGCTCTGTAAGGAAGTCTGAAGGAAGGGGCGGATTCTTTTCGGCTGTGTACTTTCAAATTTTAGTGCACTCGAGCCGGTTTCTGAAACTTACCTAGGTAATAGGTAATTTTGGAGAAACCAGCTCGAGTGCGCTAGAATTTGAAAATACACAGCCGGAAAAAATCTGCTACTTCCTTACAGAGCCCCTCCTCCAACACACACAAACGCGCACATGACCAATGAGGGCACGAGATAAGTTTGTGCACAGATGTACAGTACTACGGCTTCCACAGATGACATTTTTGTATGGATTTTTTGTCAAAGCACTTCAGATATTCATTGCTATCGGGATGTTTAGAGCATTCCATGGAATATAACACAAAGTGTATCTCGAGACGGTTTCTCAAACTTACCTACCCCACCTTTAAGAGTCATGAAAATTGTCAATGAATTTTTAGTTAACTTATAAACAATATCTGTCTAACGATTACCCTCCATAAAGTATTGGTTGAAACAGGTTCAGCTTTTTAATTTGCATTTCAACTACTTTTGATAAAGTCTCACTCTATAGTTCAATAGCTGGGTCTATAATGTTGCTGCTCTCACCTGGTGAGCAGGAAATATGGCGACCACTCCACCTGCCAGATCTCAGACAGGTGCGTCGGGTGCTACCTGTGGGGCGATATAGCGGGGAGGAACATTTGTACTCAATCCTTGTGTGCACTGGGTGAAAACCTTTAGGAGACTCCAGGAAACCGGTGTCATCTTTTTCTGACTGTTTATTCAATTTGAGTTGAATAAAGCCAGCTGATAAAAGATCATGCATGTTGTATCTTGATGAAAGGGGGATTCTTTGGTCTGGATTCTCGCTGTGGAAAAGATCAAATCTGTTATTTGCTATTTTTCTAACAGTATACTATAATAATAATAATAATAAATTACATTTATAAAGCGCTTTTCCTGGTGCTCAATGTGCTTACTATGCATACTTACAGATTGTTCTAGAGCTTTCAACCACATCTTGTTGCCTTTATAAGCAAACTGATTGCTAATTTCCTTGTGCAAATTTAGTTTTTTGGTCAAACTACCATTTGGAAGGTTAATGATGAACCTCCAATCACTACTTATTTAATATATACTACTGTAATAATAATAATAATATAATACTATATATAATAATATAATATAATAATAATAATAATAATAATATAATACTACTTATTTAATCACTACTTACTTATTATAGCCTACTTGTTCGCGTTAGTGAAAAATAAAAACGAAACGTTTTCTTAACCTGTTAAGCCCCAAGGACCCCCTCGGCGGGTCCTTTTTTTTTTACGACACTGTGTCTCAGGGGATCTTAATATTTAAGAACCTATTAATGTGTTATACCAGATTAACGAGAATAATCTCAGCTAATTGACGATACAAACAATTTTTACCAAAACAAAACACGAGAATCACTCAAATTTCTTGGCTCTCACATAAGCAATAACCTCAAATGGAAGACCAACACAGACCACATCTACAAAAAAGCCAACCAAAGGCTATTCTTTCTGCGGCAGCTCAAGAAATACAGAGTGAGGAAACATCTCCTAATCCAGTTCTACACAGCCATCATCCAAAGCATCCTCACATCATCCATCACAGTCTGTCTGGTACAGCAGTTCAGACAACCTCTCCCGGAATAAACTTCAACGTATCATCAATAAAGCATCAAAAATCACCTGCAGTCCCCTTCCATCACTCGAATCACTTCACCACCAACGAACTGTCACAAGGGCAAAGAAAATCATTTCTGACCCCTCCCACCCAGGTCACCATGTCTTCCAACTTCTGCCCTCAGGGAGGCGCTACAGGTCACTGTCCGCCAAAACCGCCCGCTTCAAAAACAGCTTTTTCCCCTTTGCAATGAGAAGGTCCTCGCTGCGGAACGCGGAATGGGGCGGGGTCGGATAAAAGGCGGGTTGGATGTCCGACCCCGCCCAGAGAAGAGTTACGACATCTCCATTCACTCCAATGGACCAGTTTTTTACAGCAATGGCGGATCGCGGAGCCTCTCAATAGTAGCTAACTTCCGGGAAACTATTGAGAGGATCTGCGGCGAGCAGCGCAGTAGAGTTGTAGCATAATAGATCGTTGGTGATGGACTTTTAAAGGTAAGAAGATGTTTAAAGATTTATATTGCGGATATTATCAGAACATCTGAATCAAATTAACTACACATGTGTATTAAAGGATGTTAGTGGATTATCCCGTCAATCAGTATATTTAACGTTTACAGATAACAGATTAGGCTAGAATACCGGATAAAGTTAGCAACACGAACAGCCTATTAATCCGTTCTCCTCATGTTATTTCCTCCAACGTTGTGGAATTAGAGAAAAGGGGCTTCTTAACGTGCTTATATCCGGGGTGGAGGGAGTTACATATTAGTTAAATATAACATTGGGGCGTGTGATTGTAGTGGGTGGAGGTGGTGAAATGAGGATATCCATTTTGGAGTTCAAGCTAGTATAATATAGTTAACGTTACACAATAATAAGGAAGAGAGCTATTTTTGTGATACATCGCTATCGATATGGATTTAGAGTGGATATTTGAGACTTCCAAACAGTAAACAAAAACGTACTTTATGGGTGAGTGTTTTTAGCAGAGTCATATTATGTCTTTGTGATTCTGTTGATTATTACCTGTCTGTATTATGTTGCAGCTCAGCTGATGTTGGATTGATGGCAAAGGGAGAGGGACTTAAGTGAGAGTGAAAACACAAGGTAAGTTTAAAATAGGTCAGCAATTTCCCATCCTCTAGCTTGCTAGATGTATCTAACCCTTTCTCCTGTCTCCCTCTTTCAGCACAAGAACCCCAGGGGGATTCAATGGAGCATGAAGACCTGCAATGAGACCCTCACCCTGCACCTGAGTCTCAACTCCCAGAGCTTTGCAAGCCTCTCCCTGTTCCTTATTTTTATTAAACAGACGTTAAGCTTCCCAATGGTGTGGTCTTCGTTTTGTGAAAAATATGATTACCTCACATATGTTGTTGCTGTTGTTGTCTTTTGTGATAGTTAAATTGCTCCTGCTGACTTGAGCCAGCCATTCTTTCCTCCTCTCTGTGTCAGTGGGGAAACCTTACATTCATACTCCTTTCTCTGAGCGCTTGGAGCATCCCCAGGCAGCACAGCATTTATGTTCAGGTTCAAATTTGAGTCGGACTATTTCATGTTTTTTGAGCAGTGCATTGATAAAGAAAACCTTAAGGTTCATGCCTGTTTTGAAGAGCGCGGTTGAATGTTTGCATCAGCAAAGCCTTTCACTGTTGTATAGATTTTTTTTTTATATACTTTTTTTTTTTTTTTTATATTTACTGTATTTGATTTTTCGGTTCTGTTATCTTAATGATTGTTCTGTTATATGATAAATGTTGTAAATAATAAATGCTTTTTCTATCATTCTATGAAATGCAGTGCAATGTATCATTTTAAATATATGGACTAGATATGAGTATGCACAGAACTGACTAAATGAATAATCAATTAAAACAAATATTAAATAATGAACTTAAATACACTAATATAGAAAATATGACTTTTTATACCACATTGCACATGTGGTATAAAAAGGTATATTTAAATACATTCATGCATTTAATTAGTATGAAGTTTTTATATTTAGTTTTTAAATTATATTTAGTCGAGTACAGATTTGTACTTCTTGTAGTTGTCCAGCAGATGATGCTGTTTGTCTCATTAGGATATCCATACACCCCGCCCATCGGACGTCCAGCCCCGCCCACATCTGACCACGCCCCATTCCGCGTGCTGCAGTCAGGGCCTATAGTTTGCAATACGGACACTAAATGGACTCTAAATAACCCCAATGAACAATAACAATCCACCACACCTTGAACTTTATGTTATGATATGTTGCCCTGTGCTGTGTGTTTTACTTTTTATTGTCTGTTTATTGTATGGAACAAGCTGTAATACTCTGCACTGAACACGAATTCCACCAGCCTGGCTGTGTGGTCATTAAAGATTCTAATCTAATCCTAATCTAAATCTCATAAAAAGCATCTAAATGACCCCTGAGCGAAAAATGCTAACGCACTTTGGCACAGAACTCAAGATAAAATATACCCTTATTACTTATCGTAGCTGCACATACAAGATATCCGATTAAAGCTGAGGTTCCACAGATTATTTAGGTATATATATATATCATCACTGAGTGATCCGAACTCGCGACAGGGGAAGCAAACACAGACATCACAACACGTACCTTTACGGAGCTTTTACAGGAGATCGTCTCACCGTAGCTGTCAATCTGATCAAAAGACTTGTTCAATGGCATTACAACGAGAAAAAACGCGGCTGAATCGGTTAATCCATAGGTTGATAATGTTTCTGTGGAACTGAAATAATTATTTATAATCAATAATTCCATTTTTATGTAAAAATAGGAGAGTAAAAGTTAGCTGCTAATGGTAGTCACCAGAGTTATCGCAGCTTCCGGTTTTGGCTATGCGTCAGTCTCTCACACACACACACACACACACACACACACACACACACACACACACACACACACACACACACACACACACACACACACACACACACACACACACACACACACACACACACACACACACACACACATTACCAAATAAGGAGTATGTGGGAGTTACCCTCGATTCCATTGGCTCTGACGGTTAGAAAGAGATGTCAATCAGCAAAATCGAGCAAGGGGAGCCAGAGATATGGAAAATCCACCCAAATGACCCCAGAAGTGTTTTTTGTTGCTAAATCTCTCTAAAAATGTCAAATTTCACTTGTTTTGCACCAATCTTTATACAGGGTACTTATTATATGTTGTAGTTTGGATTCCTAAAGCTTTTAGTCTACCATCCCATCATTCAAGGGTGGTTTTCACTATAGGCCTACGTTTTTTTTTTTTTTTGGACGGACACAATAATTTTATTTTTTTTACTGTGTTCAATCTGAATTTAATTTAAAATAAAAACATCTATATTGATTCTTCTGACACTTCTACATCCAACTCACCGATGTAACCTTGCTTTGAGAAAAAATATTATTAATTGAACCCTTTTAGAAGGGAATATATGGTCATTTGTTCTGGGAATGTCATTTTTGAGCCTGAGACCTGAAAAACAGGCTCGGGGCTTAAATAATGCTGCTATAGACTGAGTTAACAAAACAGGATCTAAGTACCTTGATATCCGATGTGGCTTCACAACAATTTGTCGCACAAGTTCCGACACTTTGGGCTCCCGACATGCTGTAGGGGCAAATAAAGCAGGTGACTCATTGTATGGGTATCGCTTTATGAATATCCTCGACATTAACAATATGACTTTAGTAGCATGAATAATTGTAAGCATGTATTATTTAGAGGATATTGAAACAATTCTATGCATACATTAAAAGGGACTAACTTGTTTATTGAAAAATAATTTATTATTATTATTATATCAACATATATGTATATTAGCGCTCTCATTATACATTTTTACTTTTTCACTCAGGAAAATGTGGCTTTCCAGGTATAAGGCTGTCAGATAAGCAAACGACCTCCAGCATGTTGGACACATGTTGTACAGTCCTTACATTGTAATGATGCGGAAAATAGGCTACTTTGGGTATGTAACATCTTATTCCCAACCCTAATGTCTTTTTGAAAACAGCTACCTCTCAAACACCTGGGTGGCCTGCTACTCCAGGATCCATTAGAGAGGCAGGTACTCTGGTGGTTTCCAATTAGGATGTAAGAGTTTTTACAGAAAAACCCAATGGTCTCTTCACCTCCAGCTGTGTCACTAGCAGGTCTGTGGTAGCCATTGAGCAATTTAGAGGGAGGGGCACACCGGACTCTGCTTGTTCGGCCTGCATGAATTATGTGTTTGAGACAAAGACAAATAATTGTGGGTTTTAAACTGGAAAAACATCAGACATAAGAACCAGGTGCCAATTGGTGGAAAGTGGAGTTTACCTTTGACACACATGGGAACTGTGCCACTCCATGTGCTATTAGGCAGACAGATCCTCTGCTGGGAGCCTATCAGTGTAAAAGGTAGATTACACCGGTAATGTACAGATACAAGCTCCTCCTTTGATCCATAAAAAGGCAGCAAATGCCCATTCACAGGTTTCTCTGGAAGTATACACTCTGGATTCTTGATGGCTGAACCTGTGAAGATAATTTTTGGGTGATACCTCCATTCCAATGATAATCACAATAGGTACAGCCAAAATGTTTACAGTTCACTGAGTTCACAAAACGGTTCAAATCTCATCAATCCTCTTATTGAGCTACTGATCCAGATTTGTTGAAAAACTGCTGTGGTATGTAAACACTTTTTCTGCCTTAAAAGGAAAACATTTAAGTTGAGTTACCTCTTGCTGTGGCAATCACTGATTGGATAAGCAACCATTCCGTGTATGATGTATAGTTCTCTCAAGAAGACCTAACTTTTTCAAAATTATGTTTGTAGGGAAGTAAAGATTGTTGTTTTGATATATTGTGGAAAACTGTTTTAGCAGAAGGTGAATGCTTGAAACATGCACTAAAGCCCCACAGTTGGTATACATTTCTTGAGATTATCTAACTAGATCTTATTCATTTTCTCAACGAGATCCAGTATTTATTACTTTGACATTCATGGTCGATACATTTTTGGCAGATGATTCTAATATTGCTGTATTCACCGCATGAGCAATTTGCTTATTAAATTATTACGTACACAGTAAAAAGAATAATAGCCCCAGGATACTGCCCTGGAGGCCACCAAAAGTTAAAGTTTTCCAGCACAAAAACGATAAATATTTCCCCCAACAATTGATTATATGCTAAAATACTTTAACCTTTCTTTGGCTTATTAAAATAAGCTTTACTTTAATATTGCTGAGAGGGGCACTAAAAGATAATGTTCAGGTTAGCTATAGCAAAAGTGTCCCAGAGGGGAAAAACTGGATAAATGGGATGTAAGTTTGATGCATGATTTTATTCAAAGGGGGCAAATGGGGAGGGATGAAAGTGATAAATCTGTGTCGCTGACTGTCCGGCTCACATCACTGCATTGTATTGGAGCCTGCGCACACACACTGCAGAATATTTAAAAAAAGTCCTGGAGCAAACATGGTGCATGCACTCAAAGAGATGTGCTGCATGCATGAAGGGAGAGCAAAGCATTATCTGTATCATGTACTCATGAAGGAAGAATCAAAGTAAGTACCTGCAGTATAATAATAATAATAATAATAATAATAATAATAATAATAAGCTATAACAAAAGCTATAAGGAGAAAATAATAAAATAAAAAAGACATCTAAAGGAGCATATTGAATAAAATACGGTAATATAAAAAATAAAAATAAAAGGTTAAGAGCATAAAAGGTTTAAAAAATATATATTACATTTGGTTAAATAAATATATATATATATATCCTGAATGACAATAAATCAGACTGATATATTCCAGATAGATAGATTCCAATCCAGATATTAAATGACCTTCTATGCCGAGTGTGTGGAAAAATACCACACATTATGATGCATGAGAATAATTTAACAATACTTTTACTGCAAAAACACACCTGTTAATATTTTTATAGGGTGATGATTTTCATGTACTTGTATAAGATTGCATCATACTGATGTGTAATTATTTTAATTTGTCTTATGTGAAAGAAGCATTACTAACAACAATTATACCTGCCTGAACTTTCCTGAAATGTCAGAACAAAGCCATCAAAGTTGTTGAATCCATCTGAAGAGAACAGGATGTGCACGTTGTTCCCAGAGCTTTTAATTGGAGGAGGCAGCTGATCCCCACAAAATCTTCCAATCACAGGGGAGCTCAAATCGTTGCCGTCACGCAACTCAACATAGTCATAACGACAGTTATGGTCTGACTCCAGGCTCAGCAGTGAAAACCTGCAGCATAACCAAACACATATTATGTACTTTTTTTTTAAACAATTTAAAAGGCTTAAACGATGAATGTATCTGTGACACTCCCCATGTTGAAGTCTCTACATTTGTGATGTAAACTATGTTTTTCTTGCATGCCTCTGGTGAATGTACCAGTGTTTTAAACAATAAGGTTACAGTGAAAAGGCACTGTTTAGGAAGTACAGAATATACAATTTGGATTTGCTGCTCAAGTTATATGCGAGTGTCTAAACTGATGTTTTGATCAAATTGTATTGTTGGTAAAGACAGACACAGTTCATGGAAGTGTTAAAACATTGACCCACCTCAGCTCGATGCTGCTGTCCCTCCCCACTTGCACTGTCCATTCACACCGAGTGTTTGTTGGGTAACTCTCCATGGATATGTGACCCTGGGCCCGTTGAATGACGTCTCCACATGCTACCAACAAGAGAACTGTAATCACTTTCACTTGGTAAATGCATACTTTAATTCTCAACAAATGTGTGTTTATCACAATAGCACTGAGTATTGTTACAGTTGAAAGCAGGATCAGTAATGTGGCATGCTGTTTAAGAGGGCAGATCATTTCCAAAAAGATTATTGGGATGACGGGATACAACGAGCCACTTCAAAAACCATGATTATAAACATCATGCTGGGAGTCATGCTGTTATGTGTGTTTTTCAGATGAATACAAAAGCTGAACAAGATATTAAATATTCAACAAATTGAGTTCTTTCAGTCCTTGCTGCTAAAAGGGACTGGGGTGAAGGTTGACACTTGGGTTTAATTTGATATTTACTGGTTAAAGATTTTCAAATGTTTAACAATTTAACCATTCACAAACATGTTTGCAAACACTGCTACCTTAACAGATAATGAAAATCATGCAGCCTTTACATTTGAATGATTGGCCACTTTACCTATAAAGACTCTAAACTGCTTATCTAGGACAATTGAGGTTGAACATAAGCTTCTTCTTATTTATTTAAACTACGTGAGAGAATGGCATTAAAGGGCCAATGATGGGCCATCAACGCTAACAATTGTAAAATGTAATGAGTATTTAACCAGCAGGTAAACGGGAGGTTTTCTTTCCACTATGAATAGCAACATGTCACTAGTACATATGTGCCTTATGGGAGTTGCTGTAGCTCGATGTGTTTTCAATTGTTAACAACATTTAAATGTATCCATTATATCTTCATTATTTTTGAATTACATGTATTTATTTTTCACTGAAGCTTGTCAGAAACCAAACCAAAAAACGTTGTCGCCACCTAGTGTTCTAACGGTGTTTTACAGATTTGGGTGCAGCAATCTGAACACTGTGAACCACAGTTTATAATCATTATGTGATTGATCATTAACTTACAATAGGCTTATAATTAAAACAGTTCCAATAAATATTTACAAATGCTGGATAAACAATTTTTTAAAGGCGTTGTAATACATTAAGCAGTTTTACATTTATCAGATATTGCCTGTCTTCAAGAGCTCATTGTGGAATGAGCACCTTGCATATGAGACTTAACTATTAATTTCACATGTTGACTTTATATTAGATTCTGCATGTCATTTATTACATTTTAATCAAAAAATGTAAGAATGCATTCAGCCGAAGAGTTGTGCGGATGTTATAAAAGAAAACACTTATAGAACACTCCGGAATTTCCCCATGGGTATTACTTAAGGTCCATCTTATCTTATCTTGTTCACAACTGCATCAATGTGTATTTCCAAAATATATTTACCTTGTGCACCATATTTTCTCATATCAGCAATTTGATTCAGAATATTCGGCCTACATAAATGGTACTGTGCCAAAAAGAGTCTCACATACTGCATTCAAGCAACCATACAGTAACTCACTTTTACAGTCCCCTCCGCTCCAGCCTTGGCGACACTCTTTGCAATACTTTCCATTGACGAAGAAGTCGTCATTAGCTTTCCATGTTCCATTGTGGCAAGCTTTACAGTTCTCAAACAGACTGCAGCCTGGCAAAGACAAAGGCAGAAAGAAGATTAAGTATTGAATGTAATAGATTATAACAAATAATATAATAATAGTATATATAAGGGTTGATGAGAGTGTACCTGGGTGAAAGATACAGGGGTCACACTCATCCAGAGCATTGCGGCAGCAGGGGACAGTGTAGCCAACCCTCGACCCTTTTGAGGGACAGCGACACTGGATCAGCTGGTACTCACAACACGGACGACACATGGCGTTCCACTGAAAGCTTGGGCAGTTGCCCCCTGTAAGAAATGTCGAACCAAAGCAGAGAAAGGAAGCAATAAACCTCAAATGTACCTGATGACACCTCTGACTTCTGATACTCATGATTCACAGTTCTTAGAAGGTGGATGAGGAAGACTACAGCAGATAACAAACATTTATATATGTTAATGTTTAAAAAGGGCTTTCTTCTGGTGTGGTTATAGACACGCAGGAAACAGTGTTGAGGTTCAAACGTGCCTTTTTAGCATAACTTAAATGATGATGGAGATACAAAATTCTGGTCAAACACATCTATAACAAATAATGATGACAGGACAAACTCCTGAACTGTGAAATATTTTATGGCAGGTGATTTTGTTGCAGATGACACCACTATGCTCAAGCTAAACCGTGTACTATTTGCAAACCACATCTTAAAACCTTGAGCTGCCATGGAATACTATGAACTTTGACCTGCAATGATCCACCATGTTTTCACTGCTTGGGATATGTCCCAAACCCCCAATTTGGTTTGAATAAACGTACAACAGAGCAGTGGAAAGTGGATTGAAGCTCACAAGGAGCGATAGCTAATTGTCATCATCACAGGTTTATTTCTTCCCATCAATAATTATGGATTTCTGTGCTAAATAAAATACAAAAGCCTCCCAGATATCGAACCCTTACTAATGTGTTCAATGTCTTCATTAACTAGCTAGATTAAGGGTTGCAAATTAGCTTTACCAGGAGAAGTTACGTGTCATTCAAATGTTGGTGACGAACACAGAGTCTGTAACATGAACTGAGACAAGTCTTAGCAGCAGAAGTGACTCATTGTCGAAGAATAGTTCCACAGTTAGTCAGCAATAAAGTCCACAGGCTTTTTTTCTTTAAAGGTAGCAACATTTTCACAAAGAAGAGGCCATGTGATGTAAAAGCCTCTCAAATACTATTTTCAGTAACGACTAAAACAACTCCCTTATACTCACCACGTGGCCAAGCTGTTGCACACAAACAGACATTTAGGAGTAGGTAGAGTTTGTGGTCCAGACAAGTTGATGTGCGCAATCTCCTTGTAGGGAAAGGGAGCATGCTGGCTGCCAACTCACAGCAATATTTTTCCAAAGATGTCCCAAGAATAAAGACCTAGCTCAGACCTAGACCTAGACCAGACCTTCCCTTTTTCTCAAAATGTGACGTCGCTTTGGATGATTAATTCTTCCCTTTCAGCATAATGGACAGACATCCTTAACCCATTCCTTCCATGATGCTTTCATCTGTTTTCGCTTTGAAATTGTTCAGTTCAAATCAGTGCTAAATCTCCAACTAGTTCCTGTTCATCTGCTCTCGTTGGGAGTCCAGAATGAGAGCTGCGTGAGGAATAGCGAAAGAGGCGAAAATACTTGTCAGCAGAGGAAGTGGAAAGTGCAATTGGGGGGAATCAAGAAATGGTAATGAGGAAAACAGTGAAGAAGGAAGTCCAGAAAAAAAACAATCCATCAGTTTATTGTTAGGGGTTTCAAGGAAAGAAGAAACATAATCTCGGTTTGGCAACTATTTATATATTTAAAAATATTCTTGTTCTCCAAAATACTTCAAAATCTATGCAGATAAACATACATATATATTTCCAGGTAGATCAGTCTTGTTGCTTCATTAAACAGCAGCTGTCATGCCGGACACGAGAATTTCACAACTTCTTGGTAGACAGATGACAGATGTCTTTTTTATTAAATGTTTATGATGTTAGGCTTCATATATTTGCCTGGAGCAGTAACGCTGACAGGATAGTCACAGTCTATTTCATGCCCAAGGTTGCTTTTCCATTACCTTGGCATTTACCCAGGAGTTTCCATGTTATCATAATGTCTCATCTTTTCCTCTGCAGCAGCTTGTAAGCAGACAGATTGAAGCTGACACATATATTACATGATGTCCACTGTTGTTTGCTGTTTATAAATGAGGTTGTCTTTTTCATTTGAAATATCTGATTTGTATTATTATCGGATATGTATTATCTGATATTCTATAACACATAGGTTTGAACAAGCTCTCTGGTTGGTCAATAGGCGTGTTTGATTCCACGATCAAACAACGATCAAATAGAACGTGCCTAATCACAAAGTATCCAGTGGCCTACACACGCCACTAGCCTACCGAAACTACTTCCATGAGCCTACATCGTGTGGTTTCCATAGCGACGTTTAGCGACACACAGCCGTTACACTGTTATACATTGTCTCTCGTTGGAAATCGGCCAGAGAAATCATGTCCGTTAGCGGACATAAAAACGAGTCATCGCTTCGCAGCTACTGGGCTCCATCTCTAGACAACAGAAAGATGTGGAGCAACGCGCTTTTTGCCGGTCCGGGACACGCCATGAAACGGCCACTGGAGGAAAGCTCTTCCTATAACGTAGTCCTACCCGTGAACACCACAGCACCACCTGCAAAAAAGTCTGGCATGGAGTTCATGGAGAGCTGTTTCAAGAATTGCACTTTTAATGGCAGCATGAACATCAACCTTCATTCTGAACCCAAAATGTTTCAGCACCATGGACAGCCTGATTTGATTTGTTCCGCTAATCCCACACAGTGATTACTCAGATATTTAAATAGCCTAATTCAAAAATTGTTTTCAATAAATTGGTTAATAATATATTATTTACTATAATTATATCAATCACTGTAAGCGGGGTAGCAGGAGTGTTCGATTGATCGACTATCGTTACCATGGGAACTACTTTCTAGGAACTACTTTCTGACGGAGATTAACTCAAGCAGAAAGCGTAGGTTTGGGAGCAAATTAGCCCACATTATGAAATTATTTTTACGATATTGTTGATTACAATTGTAAGGGAAACTTCTGTGTAGCAGCAGTGCAGTGGGAGTCACCGACTCAGGAAAGAGACACGGGAAGAGCAGGAGCTTTGATGTCAAACACTGATGGTTTATTTGGAGCTTCGGCCGGAGAATTCACATCACAAGTCACAGCAGCCACGATCTGACTGCAGGGTAGGGTTGCCACGTCAATTCTCAAGAACTCTACCCCAGACCCCTGTATTTAGCTAGTTCCGAGAGCATCATCAACATGCTGCATAACAAGATAAAATCATAACACCTCTATCAGCTGACGCCAACAGGCAGGAACAGGGACACTGAGAGCACAGCAGCCAAGGTTACGAGGTGCGTGTGCTCAGTCAGGACAGTTTGAACTGATAAACTGGGTCAAAGTTATGGGCCTTGGAAAATATTCCCCAACAACAATGATAGTTTGTGTAATAGAATCGCCTGTACTCCAGTACTCCTGTACGGACCTCGGCGCTTGCAGTACTGTGGGACCAATAATGACGTTCAAGAACGGCCTCTCGTGTATGATTGCTTAAATAAAGATCAGCTGTTTTTTTAATAATGTAGGCTACTTTTTTAACCCTTGTGTTATGTTCACATTTCGCACCCTTTGGTAATGTTCGGGTCAAATTGACCCGGGACATATTTGAGGGTTTAAAAAAAAATACAGAACTAAATTCAACATGCACAATTCCTTATATATATTGTCTTTAACTCATTCCCCAACAATATAAATTAAATATAGCCTATGATTAGTTTTTGAAAATACTCTTTGCTAGATCAAATTTAACAATGGAAGTGTCCATCGTTTTTTGTGATAACATTTTTATTTATGTTAAAAAAAAAATACTGTAATAAAAACTAGGTTTACATTTTGCTCATGCTTTTCTAGGACTAATGTAAATGAAAAATGTTTTCATTAATGTTTATTATTTTTAATCTGTCATATAATAATCAAAGCCCTGAAGGAAATAAAGCAATTTAGCAGCAATTGGAACTCAAGAACCACACATCCAAAAGTATTTGGCTGTGAAATATAGAGGGAATGAAACATCCATATACATGACATAGAACAGATATAAACACAAAGCAAATAAAAACAATTAACAGTCACTATTCATAAAATGCAGTATATCCGAAAACTATATTGATGAAGTGACATACAGTCGGCGTCGCGTCACAGTTGGGGGCGGGGCATTTCGAGGGGGAAAACAATCCTTTCCCCCTCGCCTGGAGCACTGTAAGCGCGCGGATTTTAAATGTTAAACAAACATGTCATACATTGATTCATTGCAGCCCATTTCCAGGGATAGATACCTTAACATTTTATATTTAATAGGATCGGATTCTTGTCCATATCTTATTAAAGAGTGGACGAATGATCCGACTGAATGGCCTGAAGTTTCATTCCCTGATATCTTCTGCTACCTGGTTGAATCACCCGGTAAGAGGCAAAATCACGTTAACTGATGAATTAAACCTCACATAATTTATATGTCTAACAAGGAAATTAGCACGTTTTAGTGAATTTGTTCATCACACAATGGTTGTTATTGCACAATAGCCATCATGAGCTGCATATACATATTGGTTATTGACGACTCGGTACGTTATCACGCAGGGATTTACACACACACGCCAAAAGAACTATCGGTCCCTGGAGGCACACAACTTTTTTACAAGTGGCTTTGTTGGAGTTGTGCTCCATCATAAACTACCTTCATCGGATACCTACCTGTTCCGATGTGATGTAAAGCCATCCTGGAGGGTGACAGAGAAGCCGCAAAGGCTGGCTTCCGCATCTGCCAAACTATGCCATACCTGGGGGTTTCATGTGATGGCTATGTTTCCTGTGACTGCTGTGGTGAGGGTGTTATAGAGGCTAAGTGTCCTTACAGGTGGGGGCAAGACACCTCTACTGGGTACCAACAGTGGCTTGAGGACAAAAGAGGACATCTGGAAAGTCTGACAAGCTTAAAGAGAAGTCATGCATATTTCACTCAAGTATTTCAATATTTCACCTGCATATACCTGCACACCTCTAATAAGTCTGGATCATTTTGTGCAATTATCCAAGATAATTATCCACAGATGGCATACTGTCTATAATGTACATATTAGTGTTATGATGATTGCATTGCATTTGACAGGTCCAAATGCAGATGTTTGTTACCAAACGGATGTATGCAGACTTCATCACTTGGACTCCTCAGACCTGCCTGATATTCAGAGTACAAAGAGATGAGGACTTCATCAGTGGTGCCATTAATGTGATGCAAACATTTTGGTCACAACACATACTACACAAACTTCGGGAGCTGAAAGATGCACAGGTAGGTGGTTGCATTTCCTATCAGTGTAAAAATGGCAACAAATAAGTCACTGTGACAGAGTTACATATTTATTTATACCAATTCATTTTGAAGCATATTATAGCTATTTCATTCAGTATCAACATAGACTTCTAGACTATATGTACAAAATCAAATATCACAAAGCCTATACATTTATTTACAACATGAAAACATACATAGGCTACAAATAGAATGAATAATGGGCTGTACAATATGTTCTATATTTGTGACTTTGATACTAATCAGATAATAATTGTTGATATTGTTGATCAAATTGTTCTTGTGTTCTTTTCAAAGGGGGTGTACTCATTTATGATAAGCACTGTATATGTTTCTGCTAAGTAGGCAGAACACAGTCCAGTCGAAAGCAGCACAGGGAGTGACCCATCAGGCAACACAAGTGGCAGCAGAACATCAGGCAACAGAGGCAGAGCGTCAGGCATCAGAGGCAGAGCGTCAGGCATCAGAGGCAGGGTGACAGGCATCAGAGGCAGAGCGTCAGGCATCAGAGGCAGGGTGACAGGCATCAGAGGCAGAGCGTCAGGCATCAGAGGCAGAGCGTCAGGCATCAGAGACAGAGCGTCAGGCAACAGAGGCAGGGCGACAGGCATCAGAGGCAGAGCGTCAGGCATCAGAGGCAGGGCGACAGGCATCAGAGGCAGAGCGTCAGGCATCAGAGGCAGGGCGTCAGGCATCAGAGGCAGGGCGACAGGCATCAGAGGCAGAGCGTCAGGCATCAGAGGCAGAGCGTCAGGCATCAGAGGCAGAGCGTCAGGCATCAGAGGCAGGGCGACAGGCATCAGAGGCAGAGCGTCAGGCATCAGAGGCAGAGCGTCAGGCATCAGAGACAGAGCGTCAGGCATCAGAGACAGAGCGTCAGGCATCAGAG